CAGGCAGGGGGATGCTGGCAGTGTATCCTGCCTCTATTTTATTATTCATTTGTGAATGAAGTTCGGACTTCAATTAGCGCTAGAAACCATCCTGGGAGTCTGAAAGCCATTACCAGAGGCCCAACCCAGCCGCCTGGTGGTCACCGCGATGTCAGAGAAGGGGATGCCCCGAAGCTCGGGGGGCCGGATCCTGAGTGCCTGCAGCTGCAGAGGGGACAAAGTGCCCATGAAGGTGGCAGGAGCTGTGCCACGGGCACCGTCCGGGAGTCCCCCGTGTGTCCTCGGCATGCGGGGAGGGTCCCTGCTTCCGTGAGTCCGACCCCCGCCGCAGCCCCTCGCATCTCCCCTGCCGCCCCCCCGCGCCATGCTCGTATGGCGCCGAGGGTGGCGCGGGGGCGCGCCGTGGTCCCGGCGGTGGTACGCGGAGGCGCGGGAGGAGGGCTCCCTCTCGAGGCCCCGGCTAGCACTGCCGGGCCCGGGGCAGTGCCCGCCGACACGGGGCCGTGGACCGGTCCCCGCGGCACTTGTGGCAGTGAAGCGGCAGCGGTAGGGGACAGCAGAGGAGCAGCAACGAGCTGCCCGAAGAGGTGGTGAGAGCCACCGGAGCGGCCTCGGCAGCCGCCGGCTCCTTCAGGTCACCCATTTTCTTCCTGTCGTTGATGAGCCAGGTTTGGCTGCTTCACTCCTGGAAGAAGCCAAAAACCAAGTGATGGGTTATAGCAGCTGAGGGGAGTCCCCCACACCAGAGTTTGTCCCTCGTCCTCCACTATGAATATCAACGGTTGATTTAGCAGAAAAGTGACTCCCAATGTGGCAGAGACTCACCCAGCAGTGAGTGTGCGGCCTCCCGTGGAGGCACTTCCAGCTGGCATCCTGTCTGCCCCAGAGCTAACAAACGTCTCCTCTTAATCATCTGGATACAGTATGTTGTGAATTCTGGGCACCTGGATCAGGCATTCTACAGGATGACCCAGAGAAGATATCTTACCACTTCCTCATGCATCATGTTGGCACTCACTGACATTTCTTGTCCTCCTTCCCATGAGCAGAACTCAAACTTGATCTAACCAAGATGTACCTCTGCCTTCCCAGCCCATGGTCCACACTGCTGTCCTCTGTCTCTGACCTTACATCTTCTCCCTGCGCAGGGGGCAGCACAGGACAAGCACCCACGGGAGCAGCTTGGGAGGCTGGAGCTGGATAGACGCAGCAGGACATGAAGGACCAGTGGCGGGTGCCCTCCACCCCAGGGGCTGGAAAGCGGCTCAGCGTCATGATGTCGCCTTCACACATGGCGGGACAGGATTGTCCACGTGGTGGCAGAAGAGCTCAGTCACCACTCACTCAGCACCAGGTGAGGGTCTGAGAGAAGACACGGATGGGAGCACAGAGGTGACAGCACAGCACCAGGGAGCAGTGACCCTGCCCAGGACAGCAGTGACCCCCACCCATGACAGAGCAGCAGGACTTGAGCAACAGTGGGATGGGACAGGGCCAGATGACACTTCAGGGAGCAGGTGGTGGCCATGGCGCACTCGGTGCCATAATCACAAACACTCGATCATCCCCCAGTGCACTTGGTGATACCCCCAGGACACCAGCACATCCCCTGGTGCACTCAATCCACCTTGGGACACTCGGTGTTGTCACCCCCAGGGCACTGGTGCTGTCACCCCCGGGGACTGGTGCTGTCACGCCGGGGCACTGGTGCTGTCACGCCGGGGCACTCGGTGCTGTCACCCCCGGGCACTGGTGCTGTCACCCCCGGGGCACTGGTGCTGTCACCTCCGGGGCACTGGTGCTGTCACCTCCGGGGCACTGGTGCTGTCACCCCGGGGCACTGGTGCTGTCACCCCCGGGGCACTGGTGCTGTCACCCCGGGACACTGGTGCTGTCACCCCCGGGGCACTGGTGCTGTCACCCCCGGGCACTGGTGCTGTCACCCCCGGGGCACTGGTGCTGTCACCCCCGGGCACTGGTGCTGTCACCCCGGGGCACTGGTGCTGTCACCCCCGGGCACTGGTGCTGTCACCCCCGGGGCACTGGTGCTGTCACCCCCGGGCACTGGTGCTGTCACCCCGGGGCACTGGTCCTGTTCCCCTTGGGACACTCTGCGGACCCCCTGCGCACTTGGTCGCGCCAGGTCCGCCGCTCCCTCTAACGGCCAAAGGGGCGCTGGGGGGCGTGGCCGGGGCGGGTACACGGAGCCAATAGAGAGCGGGGGGCGTATCCGGCACGGAAGAGGTTGCGGAAGCGGCGGGCGGGGCAGCGGAGCCAATGGTGTGCTGAGGGCGGGGTCAGGGGGCCAATGGGGCTCGCGGGGCGTGTGACGCGCGCGGGATGCGGCTGCCGGCGGCGGTGCGGGAGCGGGTGGCTGCGGTGCACGGCGGCGTGGGGCTGCCCGAGTGCTTGCGGCTGTACGACGGCTGGGCCGCCTGCTACGAGCAGGTACCGGGCCGGAGGGCCGGGAGGATTCTTCGCTCCCCTCCCCTCCCCGGCGCCTCTGACAGCCGTGTCCCGCAGGATGTGGAGGCTCTGGAGTACCGGGCACCGCACCTGGCCGCCGCTTCGCTCGCCTTCGCCTTCCCCGCGCCGCCCGCAGAGGCACGACTGCTCGACGTGGCCTGTGGCACCGGGCTTGTAGCGCGGGAGGTACTGGCCGGGATGGGGATGGGGAGGGCGGCGCGGCGATGGGAGATAACGGAGCCGTCTGTCACCGCAGCTCCACCGCCGCGGCTTCCGATGCCTGCACGGGGTGGACGGCAGCTCGGGGATGCTGGAGCGGGCGCGGAGCACGGGGCTCTACCAGGAGCTGCGGCAGTGCGTCCTGGGCAGGGAGCCCCTGCCTGCGCCCGCAGGTAACGGGACGGCACCGGTGGGGACGGGCTGCCCTGGAGGGTCCCCCCGGTGATCCACGCTTGTCCCCCCAGAGCACTACGACGCCGTGACTGTTGTGGGGGCCCTGGGCGAGGGGCAGGTGCCGAGCGCGGCCGTGCCGGAGCTGTTGCATGTCACCAAGCCGGGTGAGGGGGTGTCCCCCGTTGTCCTCTCCCCGCCGGGACCCCACGACAGGGACACGAGTCCCGGTGGATCCTGGTCCCCTGCTGGGTGCTGGCCCCCCTGCGCAGCCAGGACGTGCATCCAGGACGTGGCCTTGTCCCTGCGGCAGGGTACAGGCAGGGACTTGCAGTGGCACCCTGGTCCTGCCTGCTGGCAGGGGGACGCAGCAGGAGGCGGAGATGGCACTCCTGGGCACAGCAGCCTAGGCTCAGGCCTGGCGTCCTGCCTGTCCCCTGCCCGCAGGCCTGGCAGGGTCTCGCTGCCTCCCCGTGCTCCCCCTTTCCGAGGGGAGCCATACCCAGCAGGGAACACCCGGCGTCAGCGTCAGTCACCCGTCCCCTCTCTCTGCAGGAGGCTTTCTCTGCCTGACAACCAGGAGCAACCCCTCGAACCTGCGATACAAGGCAGAGCTGGAGGCGGTGCTGGAGGACCTGGAGAGGCAGGGAGCCTGGCAGAAGGTGCTGGTGCAGGAGGTGGAGCGCTGGGAGAAGGCCACCTCCGAGGAGGAGAGCACCCAGGGCACCGGCTACATCTCCGGTGTGGTCTACGTCTATCGGAAATGCCCCGTGCCCCCCCTCGAGGAGGGTTGAGAGCCAACGGCCTCTGAGCTGGGGGTGAGCACTTGGCCCCTTGTGAAACCCAGTCCTGGAGCAGGGCAGCTGCTGTGGGGTGACAGCGGTTTTGGGGAGTCCCCGCATTTCCTTCCCTGGCTCCTTCCCCCGGAGGTCTGGGCCCAGGGGACCTTGCCTGCTTTTCAACATGGGGAGGGTCTCCTGGGCTCTGACATTCAGGTGCTGTCCCCCACGCCATGATGTTTCACAGACCCACCTGGCTGTCCAGAACCATCTCCAGTTCGGGATGTCTTCTCCCACATGTCCACCTCTCAGCCCTCATGGTCAAAATCTGGATACTTCTTCATCTTCCCCACCCCAGACCCCCGTGGTCTTTACCTGGGGACTGCTGGAGGAGGGTCCTGTGGTTTCCCATACTTGTACCCCCAGGAGTTAATCCAGCACCCAGGAGAACTCCACACCCAGACCAGGAGCTGCTGTGCCAAGACAACACCCAGCCAGAGAACTTTTCAAAGTGCCACAACGGCCTTTCATCCTACAGCAGTTGCTTAAGTTTCTCATTTTCCTACAGCTTTGTAGTTAATGATCTGGGTGGGAAATAAGGCTGGAAGGGACTTGAGGAGCCGCCCAGCATCTCCTGCCCAGCCTGTTTCCCAAGCCCCTCACCATGCTGCTTCCACTCTTCCTCCTCCACTGCTCCCTTGGGAAGATTTTTACCCAAATCTCTTGATGGGATATTTCTTTTTTCCCTTGTCTGTTCCTCCAGACCTGTTCTTGCTCGTCCGGTTCCCATGGCCCTGGGAAACAGGTTACTTCCTTCCCCTCACAAGCTCTTGTGCCTGTATCTATCCCCATCTCCCACCCAGAGCATCCCAACCTCCCAAACTCATGCTGCCCATGGCTCTTGTCATTCCTCCACATTGCCCACCCCACCCCGACCAGATCTTGGGGTCCCCTTCATGGGTAGCTGCCCTGCTTCCCTCTCCCCCCTCTTTGTCCCCAGCACTGTCCCCTGGGCAGCTGGGTGTTGTGGCTGTCCCCATCCCTGCACTTGGCTGTTTAATAAACCCCTTGTCTGCCACTGCACATTTTTCCTGGAGCAATGGGGCTGTGGTCCCTGTGGGGAGGGCAGCCATGAGCCGGGGAGGCAGGGGTTGGCCTTTCCCTGAGGTCCCCTCCCAGTCTCCAAGGGCCAAAAGGATGGAGCTCTGGGAGCCTGGTGTCCCTCCATACCCCTTTTGGCTCTCAGCACCCTCTCCCTGCTTCAGTTTCCCTGCTGGGAGCATGCAGGGAGCGCTCTGCCTGACTGTTGTCATGTCCTCCCCGCATTGCACTGCTTCAGAACCAGCCCAGGCAGCCTCAGTGGCACCAAGATGTTTATTGCCCTTGGAAAGCACAGCCCCTGCAAGCCAGGGAAGGGCATCCATGGGAAGGACTGTGCTGGGGGTGCAGCAGCATGGGGATGGGTAGGAGGAGGCAGCGCATGGGCAGGGTCTGGGGTGTCTATGCAGGATGGGGATGGTGGTGCTGTCCCTTGGGCAGGTACCCAGGCGCGGTGGCTCACACATAGTCTTTCATGGCATAGCCCATCGGGGTGCAGGTTTTCACGGCTCTGTACTTCTTCTGGTAGGGGTCCTGCTGGGATGGGGGTCCTGCACAGCACAGGATGCCCCCACCAAAGAGCTGCAGGGCACTGGAAGCCCAGCCAATGTAGAGGGCAGCTCCCAACTCCCTCTTGAGGGCCTCAGGCACCATGGGGTTATAGAAGTTGCTGACAATGCTGTTGGCAGACCAGGAGATAGGGATGAGGAGCAGGATGCTGGCCAGGACAAAGGTGGCACCTGCCACCACAGAGATCTTGGTCTTGGTGTTCTTGTCATCCACGCAGCGGGTGCAGTCCGCTCCCGAGATGGAGGTGAGGAAGGCAAAGAAGGCCACGAATATGGAGGTGACCACCAAGGCGCGAGCCGCTTGCAGGTCGGAGGTGAGCTCCAGGAGGGAATCGTAGCCCTTGCACTGCAACTGCCCCGTGCTTTCATACACGCAGTTCATCCACAGCCCTTCCCAGAAGACCTGGGCCACCACGATGTTGGAGCCGATGAAAGCCGTCACCTTCCACATGGGCAGTGCGCAAGTGAGGATGGAGCCGAGCCAGCCCAGCACAGCCAGCATCAGCCCAGCCAACTGCATCGTCACCGTTGCCATCAGCACCTGTGGGGACAGCCACAGCCATCACTTGCATGGCCACAGTCAGGGGCTTCCCAAAGAGAGGGGGTGTCCTGCTGGGTGCATCCTGTACCCATCTGCATGGGAACAGCTGAAGACCAGCATGGGGATGTGTGTGGCATGAGGGATTGATGGCAGGCCATGTTGACCTGCCTGGGGACACCATGGCATAGGGAATTGCTGCAGGAAAGCATGAGGGATTGATGTCAGGCCATGTTGACCTGCCTGGGGACACCATGGCATGGGGAATTGCTGCAGGAAAGCATGACGGATTGATGGCAGGTCATGTTGACCTGCCTGGGGACACCACAGCATGGGGAATTGCTGCAGGATGGCATGAGGACACCATGGGATGTTGCTGCAGGTCAATATGAGGACACCTGTGGCAGTAAGCACTCAGGTCCTGAGGAGGCCGAGATGCAGGAGCCCCCATGTGTCATGGAGCCCACACAATATCCCTGCAGCTCAGGGCAGTCCTTTGCCATTGCCCCATCCCCGCCAGGACAAGTGCATGGCTGGTGTCAGGGAAGGGATGGCTTCCAGGGAGCAGAATGATGGGCTCATTGTGTCCATCCTGGCATGCTCTAACCTAAGACCTGCTATGCCCAGCCCCTGCCCTTCTCCACCGCTGGTGATTCAGCCTTCTTGGCCATGACAAGGACATGGTACATTACATAAAAGTAGACATTATGAAGAAGCTCTTCCCTGTGAGGGTGCTGAGGCGCTGGCACAGGGTGCCCGGAGAAGCTGTGACTGCCCCATCCCTGGCAGTGTTCAAGGCCAGGTTGGACACAGGGGCTTGGAGCAAGCTGCTCCGGTGGAAGGTGTCCCTGCCCGTGGCAGGGGTTGGAACTGGATGAGCTTTAAGGTCCCTTCCGACCCAAACCAGTCTGTGGTTGTATGACTCTATGAGCATCACGCTGGGGGCCACAGGCAGCCCCTGCCCTCACTGCAACACCATCTGCTCCCTGTTCAGGGGCAGGTTTTGCTTTGCCCTTGGCAGCCACGCTGCAGCACCCTTTGGACCTGGGATTTCCTCTCTGGGGTGCTGGAAATGGGTCAGAGGTCAGGCCTGCCTCTGAGCCTGGCTGTGGTGCTCCGCGCTTTCAGCGATACCTGAATCCTTTATACCAGGAGCAGCACCAAGAGCCCCAGGAAGAGGCTGCAGAGCCGAGGGTCATGCAGGCATCACCCCTGTAAGAGGGGTGGCGCTATGGGAAGGGGGGATACATTGGACACAACAATAGCTCCAGCACAGTCACACGCAGGCACTGTGTACCGTGGCTCAGCCCAAATCTCTGTACAGTCCCACATGGAGCAGAGCCCAGTGCTGCCATGGGGCAAATTGCGCCCTGCGCCCATGGGTGCTCGCACCCACACCTGGTGGCTGCAGCCAGCAGAGTTTTTATGACCCCCAAGCAGCAGTGGGGTATCGGCTGAGCCTGGCACACCCTGTGGCATGCATGGCAGGTTTCACCCTCCTTTCTCTGATCCCAGCTTCAGTTTCTCCCACATCTCCTTCCTTATTGCAGCACCGCTCCTTCCCCAGCACCTTCCATCCCTTGGCATCCTGATGGATACCCAGGGACTTTGCCTCTGCTGGTCCACAAATCCCTTTTGGACCAAAACTAAAGTCACTCTCCCCAAGAAAGGGAGACCAGCCTCCAGGCAGGCCAGGGGGCCAGGATGACAGGAAGCCATCCCAGGCATCCTTCCCCAGCCAGCAGGACCCTGGACCACAAGAGACACCCAAAATGGGGTGCATGCCTGCCTGCAGCAGCAGGTCAAGCACTGTCCCTCTGGGTCCTGGCAGGGATGCTCGCAGGAGCATCACACTGACATTTCCACCCAGCCACCAGCACCATTCCCATTCCAGAGATGGGGAAGCTGGGAGTCCTCTAGCTCCTGCACCCAGATGAGATGCCCAGAGCCAGGCAGCCAACATCGCCCCACATCCCAACATCCCCCAATGCAGAAGGAAGATGTTCCCAAGCCTGCACCCCAGCACAGCTTGCCGTGCCGGAAGTGAGATAAGCAAAACAGCGTTGCCCACGCCAGCCCCGGGGTGCTCCCAGCCAGGGCTGTTGGATGGCCCAAGGGCCAGTGCTTCCCAATCCACCCTCACCAGCGCCCATCACCTTCCTGCTCGGCGGGAGGATCCTGCCGGGACAAGCATGTGTCAGCCGCAACCGGCACCACCACAGCATTGTGCCGCAGAGGCACCCATTGACGTGAGGAGGGGAGCAGTGGGTGATGGCAGGGCTGGAGCAGGGGTCAGCACTGTGGGAGGCTCCAGGGAGCGGATTTGGGGATCTCAGAGGGATGGGGATTTGTGTCACTGTCACCAAGGCGGGTTTGGAGAGGGTAAAGAAAACGAAGCACAGTGAGGTCTGAGGAGCTGCCGTTTAATGTGGGAAGGGATGGAGGGCAGCAGGGACGGGGAGCACCATGAGCCACCCACCCCTGGCCCGAGCACCCCACTTGGGGAATGCCAAGCGGGACCAAGGGGCTGGGTGCACCCCACAGGACTGGGCTGGGGAGTCTTCCCACTCTGTGCGGGTGCAAAGCCCTGCTCCACTCCCTGACTGGTTCTCCCAGCCCAGCCACTGCCTTCCCACTCCCAGGATAATAATGCTCCCACCCCAGGGAGCTGCTGCGAGAATCCCATCAGTAGAGCCACTGCAAGCCCTAAAAGTAGGTCAGTCACGACGCAGGGTACTGGCAGGAGAGAGCCCCTGCTGCCCCTCAAAACCCTGCCGGGGTTTGCAGAGCCGCCATGTCCCCATGACCACTGGGACAGGTTTCGTCCCACCATCACCGCCACCCCGCCACGAGGGACGCATCCCAGGGGAGGTTTTACCCATTGAGAGTCCTGTGCCACCTGCAGGACTGGCCCCGGGAGCTGCGTCACCACGCGGCACACCCCGATACCGGGAGATGCTCCAGGGAGGGGATCGGGTGGTGCCTTGGAGAAGATGCCGCGCTGGGCGCTGTGTGGGGAGTGGGACCCCCACCGGGGTGGGCAACCAGGGCAGAATCTCCTTGTTCCCCGACTCAACTGAGATTAAAGAACCAGCTTCAATCCCCCGTGGAACAAAGGCAGCTCTGTCTGCCCGTCCTCACAGCGGCGCGGCTCCCCGCCAGTCCCCAGCCCGGCCAGGAGGGTCCCAGCTCCCTGGCGCAACTCGGCGGGTCCAGGCAGGCGCAGCAGCTCCTAGACATAGTTGCTGGTTGGCAGCGAGCGGGCGGCTGTAAACTTGGCAGAGTAGGGCTTCTCTCCACGGGGCGGGCAGGAGCAGCAGAGGACCCCCCCACTCAGCAGCAGCAGGGCGGAGGCTGCCCAGCCCACGTAGAGGGACGACCCCAGGTCCCGCTTCTGTGAGTTGGTGACCAGTGGGTTGTAGAAGTCCTGGATGATGCTGTTGGCTGACCAAGAGATGGGGATGAGGATGAGGATGCCGGATATGATGAATATGATGCCAGAGAGGACCATGACCCTGGCTTTGGCGGTGTCGTCCTCCACGCAGTTGGTGCACTTGCCACCGGTGATGGCGAGCAGGGTGCCCAGTATGGCCAAGATGATAGACACCACCACCATGGCACGGGCGGCTTGCAGGTCCTGCGGCAGCGCCAGCATGGAGTCATAGACCTTGCACTGCATCTGTCCCGTGCTCTGCACCACGCAGCTCATCCACAGCCCTTCCCAGATGATCTGGGCTACCACAATGTTGTTGCCGATGAAGGCTGTCTCCCGCCACATGGGCAGCGCACAGCAGAGGATGGAGGCCAACCAGCCGATGACGGAGAGGGCAATGCCCAGCACCTGCAGCCCCATGGAGGCCATCACTTGCTGCCTGCACCACTGGCCGCCTCCCACAGCGCAGTGCCGGCTGTGGGACCACGGCAGGTATTATATGCCTTTGCCGAGGGAGGAGCACCACCACTGCCGCCGTCCTGCCGCCGGCACCGGACAGAGGGGTAAAACCAGTTTCCCAGGATTCCTCTACTTGCATTTCTCCCTGCAGCAATGACACTTAATATCCCGGCTGCTCCCGCGGAGGAGGATGTCAGGGACTGGGATCAGGCCACCCAGGCAGGGGAACATGTCCCACTGCTGCCCACGGGTGGGCAGGAGATGCCAAGGGCAGCCACCAGGGCTCAGCCTGGGATGCTGAAGGAGAAACGCTGGTGTCCAGTCACCAGGATGTCTCTGACATCACTGCCAGCCCCTCCTGCCCCATCACTTGGATAGGGTCTCTTCATGCTTTTGTGCCTCAGTTTCCTCCCAGCTCGTGGGGCAGCTGCTCCAGCAGCAATCCCATCTCTGCCCCCCCATAGCCCCGTGCCAGGGAGCAGCACGCTGTCGAGGCCCCACTGCCGGGCTCCATGCCCAGGCAGGACACAAGCAGCTCTTGTTTGTTGCTTGGCGCCTGCACCAGTGCTTCCCAGCCCTCCGTCAGGCCTCGGGCAGGAGGTGTCACCGCCCAGACCCACAAACCGGTTGGAGCAGCTGCCGGCTTCCCGCAGAGGAGAGGCAGCGCTGTCCTGGGCCATGGGGGGCCAGACCCCAGAACACATCCCACCTCGTGCTGCGCTGCCCAGCCGGCGTTCACACACCCACGGTGGCAGGGCTGCAGCACCCCCCTGCCTGCACTGCCTGGGCTGCCAGCCAGGCGTAAGGGTCAGGCCTGCAGGGGACAGAGGTGGCTTTAAGGTGGAATGGTCTGGTTTGGAAGGGACCTTAAATCTCATCCAGCTACAACCCCCTGCCATGGGCAGGGACATCTTCCAATAGAGCAGCTTGCTCCAAGCCCCTGTGTCCAACCTGCCCTTGAACACTGCCAGGGATGGGGCACCCAGTTGTGTTGGTACATTTGGGTACAACCAGCCATACCCGCTGGCTAGGTTGTGCTGATGTTTCACCAGCCCAGCTTAACCCCGGGCCTCTGGAAAAGATAAGAGGGCCTGAGATTATCTCGGTTTACCTGAGCACTGGCGTTACTGATAGGATCCACTTGCTGTGCTATTTGCAGCTGCTGCTGCTCACACCAGGATGTCCCTGGGCAATGTGCCCCAGCGGGATGAGCCAGGTGGTCCATGCACTGCAGTGCTGTGAGGATGCCAGTGCCCAGCGCAGTGGGAGCAGGCACAGCATAGCTCAGGCACTCGGGGACACTCGGGTCTCACTGCAGACCCTGACTCATGGGGACGAGGCAGCATCCTGCCTGACCTGTGCTGGAGCAGCCACCCAGGCACCAGGCACACTGGGATGCTCCATCCATCTGTCCTTCTGGAGCACCTGCATTGCTTGCATTCCAGCATTCTCACCCCAGGGCCGGAGCCGCGTGGTCAAGGGCTCCTTTTAATATGCAGGCTCCAGAGCACTCCTGTCAGGGCCTGAGGCTGAGCATGGCTTTCACCTCCCAGCACTGCCATAACCACCACATTATTTTGGGCTGAAGAGGCACGCGCCCTCGTGTATGTGCAGCGTGCATGGGCCATGTCCCCACAGGCACATGGGGACATGCCTCTGGGCTGGGGACAAATAGCAAGGTGGGGACAGGGACTTCCCCGCATGCAGTGCATCAAAGGTCTGAGCTGCTCCTGCTCCCCCTCAGAGCCAGGGCAGGCGCCAGCAGGGCCCTTCAACATCCCATTACTGTAATTAAAGCCAGAACGTGACATATATTCAAACTGGCGTCTGCCACCCAGAAACAGTCCCCATTCCTTTCCCCACGTCCCCTGGTGATGCACTCACCAGCCAGCACAGCCAGCCCCACATCACCAGCAGGACAGATGGACGCAGGCCTGGAGGGGGACAGAGGCAACAGCCAACCCTTGGGGCAGCATCCCATCCCAGCACCAGCACCTTGTTCCCAGCACCCACTGAACCAGAGGATGCAG